TTACTGCAGCACTGGTCACAATAGCAAAGACTTGGAACCAACCCAAATGCCCATTAATGATAGACTGGATAAAGAAAATGTGGTACATATACACCATGGATTACTATGTAGCCATAAAAAAGGATTAGTCCATGTCCTTCACGGAGCTGTGGATGAAGCTGGAAACCATCATTCTCAGCAAACGGACACAAGAACAGAAAACCAAACACCACATGTTCTCACTCATAAGTGGGTGTTGAACAATGAGAACACATGGACACAGGGAGGGGAACATCCTCCCTGTGGGTGGGGGTGGGGCCTAGGGGAGGGATAGCATTAGGAGAAATACCTAATGTAGATGACAAAGTGATGGATGCAGCAAACCACCATGACACGTGTATACCTATGTAACAAACCTGCCGTTCTGCACATGTACCCCAGAACTTAAATAAATAAAAAAAAAAGAGAGAATGCAGAAATATCAGCCCTGGCATAGCAGAGCTTTTGAACCTATGCCAGTAGCCACCTACCTACAAATTTCTATAGGGAGAAAAGTCTACTCCCATTTGCTTAAGTCACTGAGGTCAGTTTTCTATAACTTGTAGCGAAAAGCTTTCCAAACAGATTTCCTGTACTAGGGGTCAGATCCAACCAAGTTATCTGCTTTAACATATCGGCTAAGACACCACACATCTGTTAACTTATGACCAACTGGTCACTGAAACACCTAAAGACACCAGCTTGAACAGCTACAAGAGAAAAGTGCAATGACCAAGGAATAGCTTGTTACTATCAGAGATCCAAAAACACAAACAGGTTCTACATCAGCCCAAACCCTCCCATCCGTTTAGACTGAAATTCAACCTTTCCTTCCTCCCACACAACATTAAAATCAGAACTGGGTGGGTGATTTCTCATTTGAACTATAATTTTCTTATTAAGAGTAAACTCTCAGAAGCTAAAACTCAGTTTTTTCCAACTCTGAGATCTCATATGGTGGCAACTGAATTGGATAAAAAGACCTCATAAGGAACCACTTTGATGTGAAGGCTGGAAGGTGCCCTGGTTGTCCTAGGAGGTGACTGCCTGCACAGCTGGCCCAAGCCAGCCCTAGGGGTGAGTGCTGCCTACTTGGAAATTGCTTCATTACAAGTGGAGACTGTTTGCAGGTGCTGAGATCACTCACTTGTGGGAGTTTTTTGCACTCGTCAGATTAACAAACATTTTTGATTAAATCACCACTTCATTGGCTGTGAGCACACGACTTTTAATAAGAGGACAATATCTACAGATACTGAGCATCAGTGCACATTCAATACTCAGACCTGCTGGGGGCAACTGAGAAACAAGGTGGGGAGACAGCCAGCCAGACGTCAGGCTTTTTCCAAGGCACAGGGTTCCAGATGTCAAATCTTCAAATATCCAAGCAAAAAGTAAACTTGGAAACCAAGATAAGATAGCAAATATAAATATCTATGGTGGTATGAAGAGGGTAAAGCAATGCAATCTGCCCCAGTATAAAGCACTTGGAGAGTACATGCCCCACCAAGTTTAAAAACTTAAAAATCCGTCCAGGTGCAGTGGCTTGCGCCTATAATCCCAGCACTTTGGGAGGCAGAGGCGGGCAGATGACTTGAGGATAGGAGTTCGAGACCAGCCTGTGTAACATGGTGAAACCCCATCTCCACTAAAAATACAAAACTTAGCTGGGCGTGGTGGTGCACACCTATAGTCTCAGCTTCTCAGGAGGCTAAGGCACAGGAATCACTTGAACCTGGGAGGCGGAGGCAGCAGTGAGCCGAGATCACACTACTGCACTACAGCCTGGGCAACAGAGCAAGACTCTGTCTCAAAATAAATAAATAAAAACTTAAAAATCTGTGTTTGCAAAACAGAAGACATCTGTGACCTGTATTTGGACCACAGTCAAGGAGTTTGTGACCCCTGGTGAAATTTAAGTCCTTCATGTTATAGACAAGGAAACCAATACCCAAGAAGGAGTTTGACTTAGCCATGGTGGAAGGATGCGAAAGAAATGCAAAGGCTGGAGCTACCGTGTATTGATTACTAATCCTGTGCCAGGCATGTGCTGGACATTTAACACATATTGTCTTATTTAATCCTCACAACCACACTGTGAGGTGAGGTGCCATCTGCAGCGAGACTGCAGGCTTTCTGTGAAAACATGCTGGCCTCTTTTTCCATAGTAAGCAAGCAGTAGCTGGCTACGTGGCCTCCTGACTGGGGAGCACATTTCCTTGGCCCCCTTGCAGTCAGGTGGAGTCACATGTCTTAGTTCTTGCTAATGGAAAGTGGGCAGTTTGGGCCCAGGACCTTTTAAGTTTGGGGACAGGACAGTGGGTGTGCTTCCTCCATTCTCCTCTTTCCCTGCTGGTGGACACATCAATGGGGGTACACCCTGGGTCCACTGATAAGGGGATAAGATCCTGAGAGATTGGCAGAGCCAAAGGGAGGGAATCTGGCAGAACCAACATAGTCCTGGTACTCTAGACCAGGAGTTGGCAACTAAGCCCTGTGGCCAAAAGGTCTAATACCTGTTCTCGTAGATAAAGCTTTAGTGGACGCTGACACGCCCACTCATTTACATATTGCTTCATTTACATACTCCTTAGCCTGAGTACAGTTGGTTCTTGTTATCCCTGGTAGCTGTGTCTTATAAAGTTGCCTCCAACACTGAATTAGCAAATACCGAACCAGGTCAGGTTCCTACAAGCCTCTGGACACAGCATTTCACAACTGATCCATACAAAATCCTGTTTTATGTGAGATTCTGTTTAAAGTGACCTTATTTAATATATATTGTTGCTTAATTAACAGTGGACCTCACAACCAACAACACATATAGTGCTGTTACACCATGAGTTATATCATGCCTGAACAATTTGTCTAAGAAACCTGTTTTCTTCTGCAACACATTACAGCCTTCTCGGACTTAGGAACGCCAACAGCACTTATGCTTGGGGGTGGGGGGGCACTTTAAACAGCAAAATTAGGCCGGGTGTGGTGGCTCACATCTGTAATCCCAGCACTTTGGGAGGCCAAGGTGGGCAAATCACCTGAGGTCAGGAGTTCTAGCCTGGCCAACATGGTGAACCCCCTCTCTACTGAAAATACAAAATTAGCTGGGCGTGGTGGCAGGCACCTGTAATCCCAGCTACTAAGGAGGCGGTGGCGGGGAATGGGAGGGGGCTGAATTGCTTGAACCCAGGAGGTTGACGTTGCAGTGAGTCAAGATTGCACCACTGCACTCCAGCTTGGGCAACGGAATGAGACTCCGTCTCAAAAACAAAACAGCAAAATCGACAATAAAAAACACGAGAATGCAAAAAACAGGGCACTAAATAGACCACAATAAGGACCCTTGTTTACAAGACAGCTGAAACAAGGCAGCTGTTCAATTTTAGCTGGGCGCATGGACCTCAGGTGACTCAAATTTTTTCCCACTGGTTTGCATTTGCTGCCCCTTGTGCTAGCCTGTTAGAAAAAAAAAAAACTCTCAAACTTTCTTGTTCTAGAAGCCATTAAGTTTTGGGGTTTCTCTGTTACTGCAGCTTATTGTACCCTAATACAGGTTATAAAGTCTGTGTTCTTCCCGCTACACAGTGCCCTCATTTTACCACTCATAAACCCTCCTCTTCACATTTCCATCAGCCTTTTTCCTACCAAGTAGGCAAGTATTTCTCAAGGGGTGCTAGTAAAATTACTTGCATCACCATGGGGTGTGTGAGGCTTGTTAAAAAAAAAAATGCAGATTCTGGCCAGGCATGGTGGCTTGTGTCTGTAATCCCAGCACTTTGGGAGGCTGAGGCTGGCAGATCACTTAAGATCAAGACCAGCCTGACCAACATGGGGAAACCCTGTCTCTACAAAAACACAAAAGTTAGCCGGGCATGGTGACACGTGCCTGTAATCCTAGCTACTCATGAGGATGAGGCATGAGAATCACTTGAACCCTGAAGACAAAGGTTGCAGTGAGCCGAGATCGCTCCACCCCACTCCAGCCTCGGCAATAGAGCGAGACTCTAAAAAATGCAGATTCCTTGTTAAGAATGCACATCACAAAGTCCTACTGAATTAGTTGGGGCATGGGAAGAGTACAACTCTCCATTTATAACAAACCTTGTAAGTGACTCTATGCATGCTAAAATCTGATAATCACTGAACTCACTAGCGAAGCCTGAAGACTGTTACCCTGTACGTCTCCTGCAACCTCTGGGAGGATGCCCTAAGGGAAGGGAAACAGGAAACAAGATGTATTTCCAGGAAGACCACCTATGCTTGATTCTCAGCTCCACCACTTCCACCACCTGAGCCTGGATTCCACCTGAAACCTCACTTTCCTCATCTGTACAAACCTCACAGGCTTGCAGGGAGGATGAACCGAGAATGCAATGAAAGCAGTTGTTCACTGTGCATGTTTTCTTTCCCTTCTATATGCAGCAAATTATTTTTAAGCCGTTCAGTGACATCACCAATTCCAGAATTCTCTTGTCATATTCCCAAAGTAATTTTGAAGGTACAAACTTCAACACTCCGGAGGAAAAATTTCCTCTTTTAGAGGATATTTAAACCATTAGTAATATACACCAGAATGGGCTCCCGCATCTTTGCCTCCTAGCCCTTTAGAGTTCCCCTCATCTACAGGTCCCTACTTCCCTGCGGTCTCCCTCACCTCTGTACCCATCCTTTTGTTCTGTGTCCCCCGCTTTGAGTCCCCTCACTTCTGTGCAAGGCCGTCTTTGGGGCTCCCCTTCACTTCCATGTCTCTTCCGCTCTGGAGGTGCCCTCGGGTCTGGTTCGCCCATCCGGCACCCCCCTGGGCTCCGTCGCCTCCGGGAACCCCGAGGGCCTTCTCACCCCTCGCGTCCCTCTCCCCAAGCCGCGTTGCCCTCTCTTCCACCACTTGGCTCCTCCTCCCACCTATAGCCCAGCCCATCCCTTACCCCGCGGCCAAGAGAAGGCAACTGACGAGGTGGCCCAAACCCCACTTCTCCCCTCACCTCTAGAGCGACGCACAGATTCTCCCGCTTCTTTTTAGTCATGTTACTTGCCGGCATCCCCCAGTCATGACTGGACGCGCCCACCAAGTAGCTATGCGCATGCTCAAGTCTTCGTGCTTCTCCCTCATTGGCCTTCGAGACAGCGGGAGGTGAGGCTGCTGCCGTCGCCATCTTGTTGAGGGGCGCGGCCGGCTTGGTGCGGCCATGTTTATGAGGGGCAACGTCTAGCTTGAGACCTCAGCCTCGGTGGATGGAGGGAGGAAAATTCGGTGCCGGGAGGCACAAGGGACCGCGTGGGAGTGAAGGTGCCCCTTTCTTCCCCAGTTCTAAGCCGCTTTGATCACTGAGAGCCTTTTTTAACCCCATATTCTCTTTCAGTGTGTTTTGTGTTTCAGCGACCATCCCACCCCCGTTTAGGCCACGCCCCCCGTTCAATTTCTGGCCGTCTTTCAAGGCCTGTGCTGGAGCCCTGAGCTCCTTGGCCTATGGAATCTGATAATAGCCTTCTATTGTTATTCCTCCTTGGTGTCTTGAGTTCTTGCTCTTTTATTTGGGTTTGTTTTATTGTAATAACAGACTACAAACAGCACAGAAAACATATAACTGAGAAGCAGAGCATCCTTTATTCTACCAACCTTATCAGTTCCTCTTTGCTTCTGTTTATTCCTTCCTGGCTTGGCCTCACACACAGAATTTTATACCGTTGTAATCCTACTATACTGTACACTGTAAACCCACGCCCTTTGAAATATTTTGACTGTGACCCCACAATAAAAAATACATTTTATACCATGGCCCAGTTACTGATGAAACCAAAACCAAAGTTTCGCAGTAAGTACCTTTACCGCCTGTGATGCACTCTGTTATTTTCTGTTCTAGCCGATTTAATTAAAAAAACAAGTTGGTGGCAGGAGACCTCTTAGGTTTATTTCATGACCCCTTAATGGAGGGTGAACTGAAATTTGAAAAACGCTGCCAAAGACGTTTTTCTGTGTCTTTGAAATCATCATTTGCAGTGGCAGCATGTGGCACTGAGTCTCTCCCGTTCTTGCATTGGACATCATTTTATTGACAGTAACTCCAAATATTGCCAAAGCAAACATTTTCATGTACACAGCTCTGTTCTGGATTCTTTCTTCAAGATAAAATTGCGGAAGTAGAATTATTAGGTCAAAGAGTATGAGACCAGAATCAAAGCTCCTTATTTCCTGACTGGTTATCTCTCTGTTGGTGCCTGGGTTTTTGTGTGTGAATAATAACCCCAACTCGGTGTTTGGGGGAAAAAAGTGTTTTCGGATTTGTGTTCTCCTCTTGATAGAGTCATTGAGTGATGGAGCTGGAAGGGGCCTGAGATACCATCTCGCCTGGCTGCCTGACTGAGGCCCACAGAGAGAGGGTGTAGTAAATTCTATCTGAACGGGAAGCAGGCCACTGAGCAGTTGTTTAGTGCAATTCTCAGCTTACCACCCAGCACAGGAAAAACTAATTCAAGAACATTGTCCATCAACTGTCAATCAACAACACTTATTGTCAGAGCACTCTTCACAGCATTGGTTCCAATCCCAGAAAAACCAGACTCTTTGCTTCCCAATTATCACAGGCACCAGCCCAGGGGAGGTGAGAAGAGGAAGAAAAACACTGTGTTCTTTTAGAAGTGGCTCCTTCTGCATTTGTTTGGCACCAAGAAAAAGCCACAGAGATCTGGGTGCACCTCCTATCGGTCCCTTGTCTCTTTCTCCCATTCCCCCATGAAATGATGGGCAGTCTATCTCCCTGAAGAGCCTCATAATTTCCCAACCAAACCTTGTCCCACAGGTCCGCTAATGGGGCGAAATATTTGAAATGGGGTTGGAATGGGAGTCAATATGGGTTGTAGTGCAATGGAAGGCTTTTAGAGGGAGATCAACCTGGATGCCTAGCCCAGCTCTGCCTCTTAGCAGCCTGTGATGTGAGGCAAGACACTTCAGCTCCCTAAGCCTCCGTTTCCATGTCTATAAAATGAGCACATCATGTGAAACTCATAGGGTGTTGGCGAGAAGTACTAAGTGGCGGGTACTGTGACTTGTGAGTGCCCAGGAGAGGCTCAGCAGAACTGATGAGGCTGCTGCCAGCTTGTCATAGGGTTTTGCTTAGAAATTGTTGCCATTGGCATTTTTTGTTATTGTTTTGTTTTCAGTATCTGTCAGCTTTAGCACTATTGTGTAGTCTCTGTTGTTACAAATTTGGGGCAAATACTTGGGTGGTTTCCTGCTATCAAGGGTGGGTAGTTCATTGTAAAAGACAACCCCTAGTAAACACAAGCATCTCTCCGTAAACAGGAGATGCCCTCTCCACCTATGTGTCCTTCCTGCTGAGACCATCAATTGCTAGTTTCCTTTGCCCCAGACATCGCAGACAATAGTGGCCTGCATGGTGTCAGGTCGGATGCAGGCGCCCCAGTACCCCACTGAGGTCCTTTCATCCCCCTGACACATACAGAGACCCAGCTTGGATTCCCGTGGAGGCTGTTTGCTGAGCCTTAGAACAGCTTGGCTTGGCTCTATGTTAGAAACTCTGCCCATGAGCAGATGGATTACTGTGGGCCAGCTATCTGTCTGTCTGTCTTTATTACCCCAGGGAGATGTGCTTCTGAACCTCCTCTTTGGGGGTTTTAGAGCTAAGTGTTTAAAGGAAGTAGAAGACTGCACTGGCAGATAGGAGAACTGGGGTTGTTCCTGGCTAGATCAAGTTCTCACTGCATGACCTTGGGCAGGTCGAGCCTCCTTTTTGGCTCTCAAATTTCTTTCTTTTTTTTTTTTTTTTTTTGAGATGGAGTTTTGCTCTTGCTGCCCAGGCTGGAGTGCAATGGCGTGATCTCAGCTCACTGCAACCTCTGTTTCCTGGGTTCAAGCGATTCTCCTGCCTCAGTTTCCCAAGTAGCTGGGATTACAGGCATGCGCCACCACACCTGGCTAATTTTGTGTTTTTAGTAGAGACAGGGTTTCTCCATGTTGATCAGGCTGGTCTTAAACTCCTGACCTCAGGTGATCCACCCGCCTCAGCCTCCCAAAGTGCTGGGGTTACAGGCATGAGCCACCGTGCCCGGCCTTGGCTTTCAGTTTTGTCTGTGCAATGGGTACAGTGGGGAGAACAAGACAGAAACCCTAAGCTCCTGTTTTTCGTGACCTTGTTATTTGTAAGGTACCCAGATAAAGCTCCCTCGTTAGCTGTAAGGGAGAGATATAAAGTAAGAACTAATGATTACCCTCAAGATCCCTTTAATCTTGTTAGAGAGACAGACTGACAACATGAAATAGTGCATGCCAGGCGTCATATAATTAAATGCCAACTGTCTGGTACTCACTATTGATGCATTAGGAGTGCAGAATGAAGAGAATGGGGTGGGTATTTGGGGGTGGCTTTCTGGAGGCTATGGGTCCAGGAGGACAGAAGAGATTGTGTCAGGCGAAGATGCAGGAGAGGGCATCCCAGGTGGGAAACCACGGGACCTCCTGTGCCAAGAGGGGGCGCCCTTTCCAACTTTGCACGAAAGCACTTTATTCTCTAGCCACATCCCTGGCTTATTTGTCCTAGAGACCCTGGGAGACCATTTTCTCTATCCCATGCCTCCTTTGGGCCTTGCCTGAGCTGTGGGGCCCAGGGTGGGGTCCCCATCACTGCCCCAAGGGAAACTTTTCAGAGCAAGAGTGAGGGAGAGTGGCATCATTCACTGTCAGAAGCATTTCAGGCAGGAAATGAAGAATTTTGTAGGTGGTTAAAAATACTGTGAAAGCTGATTTATGTTTGAATTTTGTTCCAGGGCAGCAGATTATAGCCCAAGTTCTGAGGCAAAGGCCCAGCGCCTTTATGGCCTGCTTGGAACAGTTTTATGTCTCTGTGAGTTTTATACATTTCAGCTAAGCCAAGATGCTAGAACTTTTTTGTCTACATAGTTCACTGGGGAAAACTCACATACCACTCCTTGCACCCAACCTTGTGTTACCATGCAAAAAGAAAGAAAAGGAAAGAAGGAAGGGAGGAAGGAAGGCAGCAGACAGAGGAAAAGAATGTGCTTTCTATTTCGCTGGTATCGTTTTTAGCTAACGTAAATCAAATCATAGACAGTGAATCCACGTGAAATTGAATTAGACATCCAGTGACATGAAAATCAAAGGATCTCTAAATATTGTTGGATATGCAGACCACTCTACCTCGCAGCATCCTCTTTTTTTTTTTTTTTTTGAGACAGAGCCTCACTCTGTCACCCAGGCTGGAGTGCAGTGGCGTGAACTTGGCTCACTGCAACCTCTGCCTCCTGGGTTCAAGCAATTCTTGTGCCTCAGCCTCCCGAGTAGCTGATATTACAGGCATGTGCCACCACGCCTGGCTAATTTTTGTATTTTTAGTAGAGACGGGGTTTCACCATGTTTGCCAGGCTGGTCTCAAACTCCTGACCTCAGGTGATCCACCTGCTTCGGCCTCCCAAAGTGCTGGGATTACAGGAATGAGCTACTATGCCTGGCCCACCCCACAGCATCCTTTTGATGAGAAGAAATTTCTACCAGATGTTGGTGCCAAGCTAAACCCTATGGCCTCCCCTGGCATGCTGATAGTCTCTTATCCTATGACCACTATACCTTTTGTTAACCGATTGTGTTTCCCACTTTGTCCGTGAGGAAGCTCAGAGCCAAACTTGCTCAGGGACTTTGAGCATAAGTTTCCAGGTACTAGCATTTTCGCTGGCTTTATTTCATTTTTCTACCTGTGTTTTCCCTCTGCTCGATCCTCTTACTATTTTTATTCCACTATATTGTGTGTATTTTGGTAAGCTCCCTCAAATCCTTTTTTGAAGCACAAAGGAGCATAAATAAATCAATAAATAACTCCTGTGTTTGTAAATATGGCGCTTTGTTCTTTTCAAAGCCTTGTTTGTATCCATTAACTCTGTGGGTTCCTCACATACCTCTGTGAGGAAAGTAGGACGGGCTCCATTGCCCCAATTTTGCAAACATGGAAGTTGAGGTACATGTATAAATGAACTAGTTTGCAGGAGAGGATTCTCACCCCCTCCTTCTATATAGAAGCCTTTCTATATAAGTCTCTTCTATATGAGCCTCTCTGAAGA